GCCTGGGAGGTCTCTGCCGCCTCCGCGTCCAAGGTGCTGGCCCAGCGGTGCTTCCGAGCCGCCGCGGGGAACCTGCAGTGGAAGCCGGGGGTCAAACCCCTACATTGGCCCCTCCCCTCTGTTTGCCCCGCAGCCCTTCTGGGGTTGGCTGAGTGGAGAACTCGGTGAGTCACCCAGGCCCTCGGGAGACGCGGTTGGCTGCTCTGGAATGCAGGGCGACCTCAGGCACAGGGCTTCCCCAGCGCACATCCATCCCACACCGTAACCCTCCCAGACACATCGATACTGCCACGCGCTCTCAGACACACAGTCACACGCTCACGCTGAACCATACCCCGCGACACAGATGCACACACAGTGATATACACACTCACTATGCACACTCGTGCACACAGGCACACTCACATGGAGACGGATGCTCAGTGCGTAGGCAGTGGCCTCTTCCCACCTCACATTCTCTGAGGAGAAGGGTTCACACATCATTCAGCTCTGCTTTCCACCTTGGGTCCCACCCAACTAGCTTCCAGCTTATGGAAGTGACCCTACTTTCTGGCATTCTCTGCAAAAGCCAGGGGTAGGTGAGTAACGCAGGCCTGAACTTAAAGTTCCTTTTTCTTGAAAGCCCTGGGGCCTACGGTTGGAAGCTTCCTGGCTTCACTCACGGACTTTGGGCTACCCACTTCACCTCTCTGTGTTGTGGGGTGCATACCTCTAAGATAGGAGAAATAAAAACAGCTACCTCAGAGTCGTGAGCATTTAATGAGGCCATGATGTAACACAGTGTCTGGCACATAGTAAGCACTCAATACATTTTTGCTATGAGTAGCTATAATGCTTGAGCCCAGTGCCCCCAAACAAGAGGGCTTTACTTTTGCTTGCAATTAGGAGGCCCAGAGTTAGCCAGAGGCCTTTCCAACCTCATCTTGTGTGGAAGAGCAGCACGCTAAGGCTGGGAGACCTCTGGCCCTTTCCGACATGAAAGGCTTAACCGTGGCATCCTTTCCACGGGGGCTGGACTCTCCTGGAGAGGAGGTTGGCAAGCCAGACAACCCTGCTTGCGGGACCCAGGCCTCCTCTTCTCTAGGATGGTGACTCCGTTCATCCTTGTTGTGTGTCTTAACTCACCTCTGCCAAAAAGACAGACATCAGACAGAAGCGAGTGTCTAGGCTCAGTGGCATCATCCTGAGCAGAATTCCAATTTTTCTTGCCAGATTGTTTTGGGGCCTGCACCGAGCCTGCTTTACTACCGAGTGTGGTCCAGGGAGTTGGGGCTCTGCAGAAGGCAGGGAGGTTACACAACCCTGTGTCCGCTTGCATTCCTGCGTGTTTTCCCAGGCTGAGGAGGCCTGGGCTGAATCCCATTGACCCCGCGATTCTGGCTTCTCTAAGCAGCCGCCGCCTCGCAGACCCCATCCCAGCCCTCCCTCCCCCCAGCTCCAAATTCCGTGGTTTTCTTTGAGTGCCAATAGCTGGTGCCAGGCTTCACCCTGCGGTTTACTGTGCCCTCCCCTCCTTTGCGCGCACTCCCTCCCCACCCCCCCTGAAACCAGCAAGGAGAAGCGGGGCCGTAAATTGGCTGGTGTAGAGGATCTGCAGCAGACAAGATGATTAAGAGGCCTACGCCGGAGCGCCCGGGGCAGGGAATGTCAGCCCAAGTTGGAATCACGCAACAGGCCTTGGCATGAGCGAGCCTGACTTGCCGGAGTCACCAAACCTGGCACCCGGCGGCGGAGGGGTCGGGTCGGGCCACTGCGCGCCTTTCCCTGGGAAGCCCGCTGGAAGCAGAGGGCAGAAGGGTGCAGGGGCCAGAGGAAGGGGGCGTTTCCGCAGACAAGGAGAAGGGCAAAGAGAGGGGAAGCGAGGA